TGGGGAAACTTTATTGTGACCATTATGGTACAATGCGAATACAAGGAAACCGTGACTACTCTTGCAAACTGAAATTCAAAGAGCAGACTATCATTGACCGAAATCCTCATCAGGTAATTTTCTTGTCCTGCATTATATATTTGTTTGTATCTTAGGCTGATTTTTACAGTTCATGGAACTGAAGTTATCTATATCTAGATCCTAGTATCAGCTTAGTTTTATTTGAAGTTTACTTATGATTTAAAATCCAAGAATCTCCAAGTATAATTTCACCATATATTAGCTGTGATGTTAAATATTACAGAGTGTGTCGACCAAGAATGCAACTGTATAAATTGGTTGCTACTCATCTATTTCTAACCAAAAAAAGAGAGCAATTAATTAATTAATTTGGCCTAATGAATGATCTTAGTTTAAAATAGCACATTATACAAATGCAACCTTCACCTGATGAGGCAGCACTTCGAGATGTCCTTCTGCAGACAACATATAAAAATTACTCAACATAAAACTGCCACTAACACTATTTCTGACCCCTGAACAAATTTACTGAATAAATTACTTTCAAAGAATTTGAAACAATTTACATCTCTTTTTTTTTTTTTTTCTTGAGTGGTGATTTTTTTTAGGAACCATTTATGCGTTTTGAGTATTTATTTGTCATTACACTGATGAAATTGCAGGTGCAAGGAGTTGTCCAGGAAAAAAGTGGAAAAACGGTGGCAACTTTGTTTGGAAAATGGGATGAGAGCATGCATTACGTAAATGGAGATTTCTCCTCCAAAGGGAAAGCACAACAGTCGATGTCGGAAGCTCATTTGCTCTGGAAACGTAGCAAGCCTCCAAAGTTCCCGACGCGTTACAACTTAACGCGGTTTGCCATCACGATGAATGAGTTCACTCCTGGACTAAAGGTGAAGATCGAATATATTATTATTCTGTTATGTGAACTCTGTCACTTAAGGCCGGATTTTGATTTATCCAATACCCGTATATTTTTTTACTTCACGTTAATGTGGTTCAACTGCTGCATCGGTGTTTATTACAAAGATGATTGCAATTGATAATCTACCCTCAAGTAACCAGTTACTAGAAAGTTATCTTCAGAAAGTACATATATTTCTCCTCATACTTTGTACATACTCGACCAAATAATCATTTGAAGGGTGAAAATCTATAAAAGATAGATAACTGTTTGTTTCTTATTCTTTGAAAGACTTGAAACTTTGTAAGATAACTGCTTGTTATCAGCTGGAAAATTGGAGGAATACTAAATTCAATGAATGTTTATTATGTTCTTCAATTGTACGAGTCATCGGATCATATGAAATGAAAACGGACCTACTATACGTTGTGCAGGAGAAGCTTCCCCCAACAGATTCAAGGCTTAGGCCTGATCAAAGATGCTTGGAAAACGGGGAGTACGAGAAAGCAAATGCCGAAAAATTGCGCCTAGAACAGAGGCAGCGGCAGGTAAACTATTAGTTTTGATCTCATTTAATTCTGTAAAATGTTAATTACTGCAAACATGAGGTTTAAGCAGTATCTCGTCGAATTTTGCTTAAATGAAATGCCTCGTGCACTTATATATATACCTAGTCATGTTCAATCATTCCCCTCCACATGAGTCTTCCAAAACATTCAAATTAAAAAGGGGGGAAAAAGTAAAATATGATCTTTGAGATTTGTTTTGTGCTGGATTCTTTTTATGATTGTGAACTCTGGTTCGACTGAGATTAGGCGAGGTCGATGCAAGAGAGAGGATGGAAACCGAGATGGTTTGCGAAAGATGAAGGTTCAGATGCATATCGTTACATAGGTGGATATTGGGAAGCTAGGGAAGAAGGCAATTGGGAATCGTGTCCCGATATTTTTGGTCAAGTTACTTCTGATCAAACTACAGAACCAGTATGATCAGCTCTTTTCTTTGTTTATTTTTTCCCTTTTCTTGATCATCTCTTTTAGTTTATTAGGCAATACTTTTCGAAAAAAAGCCGGCCGAAGATTATGATTGTAGGTACAGAGGGAGAGTTGCAAAGATTTTCCTGTGTCCCTCAGCTACATCTCTCATATTCTGAATATATGTATTGTTTTTTTTTCTCTTTTGGCCAATCTTTAGTTTGTAAAAAAATATTCCATGACGTATTTACATAATTATTTTTTTTTTCTTCTTTGTCTTGAATACATATTGTGATGGGCTATAATCCAAGAATTTGATGGTTTTTAAATGTTTTTCATTATGTATTCAAATAAACCATCGTTACATGATCATCTTATGCATGTGGTTATGTTATCTTTGGCATAATTATATCCTTGAGGACAAGATTTGGATAAACCGCCATCTTAATGATGTGATTGAAGATTAGAGAAAGATTTATAGGGGTGTTTGTGTCATACATAAATAATGTTTCCCTACTCACAGTGGGCACATGTTAATATGTCCACCGTTTATGTAGCATGCATCCATTGGTGATGTTAATATGTTAAAAAAATTACATCACCAATGTATGCATGCCACATAAACGGTGGGCATATTAACATGTGCCCACCGTAAGTAGCGGAGCATTACTGATACAGAAAAAAAAGGAAATTAAGAAAGAGGATCATAACTATAGTCCAATTGAGTTGTGTTAGACTGAACTTCTTCATGTGCCTTCATGTGCAGCTTAGATAAGGGAAATCATAATCCAAAAGCCCACAACATAATATAGGATTAGAAAAGCTATGGAGCCGTCGGATGACTCCATAAGGAAGTCATTATGGAGTCATCCATAAGTTAATCAGTCTTTCACGTAAAATAAAATAATGAAGGGACACAATATGAGTCTACAGTCTTCAAACTCAAAAAAGCCGCCAGCTGAACTCTTAGCACGCCTTAGTTTGAACGTGGAAACAAAGACAACTTAAAAATAGGTAAAAACATAATGACATTGTTTGGTAATTAGCGGTTAATTTTAGCGGATAGTGGATTGTAATAGCTGTTTTGACCAGCAGTTAGTATTGGTTGTTTTGACCGATTAATAATGTTAGTTGTTCTAAAAAGATGTTTGGTTAGATAGCTGATTGATTTGTAAAAATATATTAAATATTGTTAACTTAATTACTTTGTTATATATATATATGTATATAAATATTTAAAAGCAATGAATACCAATTGTATTTTATGTAAATATTTTTTGCATCAACAAAAATTAAATTGATACTTAAATTAAATTAAGTTTACATACTTATTATAATTAAAGTATATTAAAAGAAAGAATATAAATTAAAAATACAAAAGTGTGTTAATGCACTTAAATACAAATTGGTATTTGAAAATGACAACAAAATTTTTATCCTTATCTTTCAAATAGCCCATTAACTAAAATTAAAAAAAAACTTATAGCAACATTCACATGAAATAAATTCATGAAACTAGATGTGCTAATTAAAATTATATTTGGTAATCAAATATTTTTTATTAATTATTAATATTTTAAATTACATTTATCAATATAATAATAATTTGATATTGTTTAATTAATCGTTATTATAGTTACCTAAATGCCAAATCATTTATAGTTTTAATACTTAATAGTGTTATTTTGTAATTACAATAATAATAATAATAATAATAATATAACATCCATATATGTACTTAATAAAACGAAGCCAAAAGAATTCATGTTGAGAGTGGGATTTGAACCCACGCCCTTTCGGACCAGAACCTTAATCTGGCACCTTAGACCAACTCGGCCATCTCAACTCTTTTGCTGCTTAAACATTTTAATCTCCAATGTACTTAAAAAACTGTTTT